CGACCTGACAGCTCTTGCCGTCTGTGCCTCACGTCCACACAGATGATAACGAACCCCTCATGGGGCTGTTGGGATGACGAGGTGAGACGGCATCTGTCAGCTCTTACAGAGACGCAGGCGGACAGTGCGGCCCCGCAGCCCTCGCCGTTTGCTGCCCAGGCAGCGTGGGCGACTGCCACTTCTCCCGCATCCTGTGCTGTGGTTGACTTGTCCTTCTGCCTGCTGGGCTAAGAGCTTCATGAGTGGGGTCTGTCGTTTTCCTTCGCCGTCCTGAGTACCCAGCATTAGGATCTGATGAATGAAGATGCAAGTGTGTGTACCTTCCCCATGGAGAGCATTCCTGCGAGGATGTCTGGGATTGTCACCAACACTACGGCTAGGACTGCGGGGCAGTTTGGGCCAGGGAAGGGAGCGGTGGCTATGACTCTGCACCCTCCGGTGAAGCCGTGATGCCCCGCCCCGCCCTGCTCTGCGCTGCCGTCCGGGGGGTGTGCTTTTGCTTTTGGACTCGGTGGGGTAAAGTCATGGAATTCCTCTCCCTCCACCCGTCCTGAGCTGGGAGCCCCTCTCATGTGAGGGCTCCCTATCTGGGGGAGTCCCTGCTCACCACTTCTAGAGGGACTCCCTGGCCCGTCTTTGCCGGATCCTGTCCCACCACCTCCCTGTTGAACCACTCCCCTCTCGGCACACACTGATCCTGCTCCTCCAAGATGCTGGAGCAGAGGCGAGTCAGCCGACGGGAGGGCATCCAGCGCAGGAGATAGGTTGCTCAAGACCTGCCCCACCTGCAGGGACCATGGTGTGGCAGAGAGTAGCAGGGGCAATGGAGATGGGGAGCTGGAGCAGGACAGGAGGGCAGTGGGGGCTCAGGCAGTGGTTCCAGAACTGTCAAGTATGTAGCACTGGCTGGGCTAGAGCGGCAGTGGGGGCCAGAGGCAAAGGGCCTTCAATGCCAGGCCAGGAAGCCGGACTTCATCCCAGAGGCAGGGAAGGTTTTAAGCAAGGAATACCCTGGTCCTGCCCAGTGCCTTTCAAGGGACACGGGAGGTTGGTACAGCATGCCTTCTGTCCCCAGGTATCCTGCGCCTGGGCTAGCGAGGCATGCTTTCCCCACCGGGGTTCCCTCAGTTGCTCCTGGGGTGCCCCTGAGTCAGCTTCATGCCTGTGGGGGTGGTTGGTCAGCATGGCAGTCTTTGAGGCCCCTCGGTCCCCAGGCCGGGCTGGCACCAGTCAGTCCTCACAGGGAGGCTCCTGGAGGGGCTGTCTGGTGGGGTGTTGGATGCGCTGGCAGTGGGTAAGCCCTGGCCGTCTTCCTGCTGTTCCAGGAATCAGCCTCCTCATCCCCCCAGACGCCATACCCCGAGGGAAGATCTACGAGATCTACCTCACGCTGCACAAGCCGGAAGACGTGAGGTGTGACCGCGGGCCCTGTTGCCCGGGGTGGGAGGGACCCACCTGCCGCCTTCAGTCCCCAGGAAGCCCCTTGCCCACCCACTGTTGTGCCTGGCCTGAGGCGGCGGGGGGAGAGCTGCACCTAAGCCCCATCTGGTTCTGCAGCCCAAGCCCCTGGGCCCTGGGACGCTGCCGCCCTGCCCTTGGCCTAGCCCTCAGGACCCAGGATGGGCCACTGACACCTTTCCCTCCCACCCATATTCCCCCACTTGAGGTTGCCCCTAGCTGGCTGTCAGACCCTGCTGAGTCCCATCGTTAGCTGCGGACCCCCCGGCGTCCTGCTCACCCGGCCAGTCATCCTGGCTATGGACCACTGTGGGGAGCCCAGCCCCGACAGCTGGAGCCTGCGCCTCAAAAAGCAGTCGTGCGAGGGCAGCTGGGAGGTGAGCAGGGAACCGACCCGGGCTCCGGAAGGGAACGTGGGCTAACTGCACGCTCGGCCCAGCCCTCCACCGCTGGTTGGCCCTGAGCCGCACCCCCACCCCTCCCCAGTCTCTGGCCACTTCTTGAAGCCACAGCTGGCCCCAGGGCTCTGAAGCTGGGCAGAACTGACCCGCTGACCCCTCCCCGCAGGATGTGCTGCACCTGGGCGAGGAGGCGCCCTCCCACCTCTACTACTGCCAGCTGGAGGCCAGTGCCTGCTACGTCTTCACTGAGCAGCTGGGCCGCTTCGCCCTGGTGGGAGAGGCCCTCAGCGTGGCTGCTGCCAAGCGCCTCAAGCTGCTTCTGTTTGCCCCGGTGGCCTGCACCTCCCTCGAGTACAACATCCGGGTCTACTGCCTGCATGACACCCATGACGCACTCAAGGTATCGCCCGCCCCTCACCCCCGCCCCCTGCCGCTGGGAGGCCCAGCTATGCCTGGCCCTGTGGACTGATTGCCTGGGGCAGTGGGGAGGGGCCTCGGCTGACCACCTGGGGCCCTGCAGGAGGTGGTGCAGCTGGAGAAGCAGCTGGGGGGACAGCTGATCCAGGAGCCTCGGGTCCTGCACTTCAAGGACAGTTACCACAACCTGCGCCTGTCCATCCACGACGTGCCCAGCTCCCTGTGGCAGAGCAAGCTCCTCGTCAGCTACCAGGTGAGGGCCAGGGCCATGGCCAGCGCACAGAGGGCCCGGAGCTTGGGCTCACCTGACACCTGCTCTCTGCACCCCCATCAGGAGATCCCCTTTTATCACATCTGGAACGGCACGCAGCAGTACCTGCACTGCACCTTCACCCTGGAGCGCGTCAGCCCCAGCACTAGCGACCTGGCCTGCAAGCTGTGGGTGTGGCAGGTGGAGGGCGATGGGCAGAGCTTCAACATCAACTTCAACATCACCAAGGTGGACGGCAGGGGCTGCAGCGCCGCCGTGACGTGCTCCCACTACCAACTCCCTGCCAGCCCCCAAAACGCTCCTGCCCTGCCTGCCCTGCCACCCACTCTCCCTCCCACCTGTCCCCAGGCCCACCTCCTCCCAGAAAGCCCTTGGTAGCTTCCTCCCAGACTCAGAGAGAGGGAGGCGCAGGTGCAAATGGGACTTGGGGAGGGGAATGCAGGGGACATGAGAGCAGCAGGAGGGGAGACCCTAGAGGGCTTCCCTGAGGAGGGGCTTTGTACTGGGCCCCAAAGAATGAGCCATTTGGCTGCAGCATTAAGGGGAAGAGCATTTCTGGCAGTGAGAGCTGGGCAGGGAGGACTCAGGCCATGAAAAGAGCTGTGCGTGTTGAGTGTCAGCAGAGGCTGGGCAGGGTGACTTGGAGGGGAGAAGGGCGGAGAGGGAGGGAGGCCACAGAGGGCTCCTCTGCTCACTGGCTTTGTGGCTTTGGGCAGGTCACTGCACCTCTGAGCTCCAGTAAGCAGGGCCTTGGCACATGGGAGGCGCCCAGGATGTACCAGTGCTCATGCCGCCGCCATGCTCTGGGGAGTCTGGGAGCTCCCCCAGCAGGAGGTGGCAGTGGGCCCAGGCTTGGGGAAGGTTCTAACAGGCACCTCTGTCCCTCCCACCTCCAGGACACAAGGTTTGCTGAGTTGCTGGCTCTGGAGAGTGAAGGGGGGGTCCCAGCCCTGGTGGGCCCCAGTGCCTTCAAGATCCCCTTCCTCATTCGGCAGAAGATCATTTCCAGCCTGGACCCACCCTGTAACCGGGGTGCCGACTGGCGGACTCTGGCCCAGAAACTCCACCTGGACAGGTGGGTGGGAGAGGGGCAGAGAGGGCCTGCGCAGGCCACCGACAGTCCTGCCTAGGTGGGGGGTGGCGTGGACAGGAGGCCCTGTGGGGCCTGTGCCGTATCTACTAGTGGCCAGGGCACTCATTGTGTTTGGCTTGGGGGAGGCCCTGCTCTGGGGTGGGCCAGGGGGCCAGGAGGTGTCAGCTGGGGCCAGGCCAGGCTGCTGACGGCCCCTTCCCCTCCACAGCCATCTCAGCTTCTTTGCCTCCAAGCCCAGCCCCACAGCCATGATCCTCAACCTGTGGGAGGCGCGGCACTTCCCCAACGGCAACCTCAGCCAGCTGGCTGCAGCAGTAGCCGGACTGGGCCAGCCAGACGCTGGCCTCTTCACAGTGTCGGAGGCCGAGTGCTGAGGCCGGCCAGGCCCAACGCCTACACTCTCACCAGCTTTGGCACCCACCAAGGACAGGCAGAAGCCGGACAGGGGCCCTTCCCCACCCCGGGGAGAGCTGCTCGGACAGGCCCCCTCCCGGCCAAAGTTGTCCCTTAATGCTGGTCCTTCAGACCCTGCCCGAACTCCCACCTCTCCATGGCCTGCCTAGCCAGGCTGGCACTGCCACCTGCTCACACTCGGCCCCAGGGCCCAGGATGGACAGTGCCTGGAGCCTGAGCCAGGCCCAGCCCATCTGTGTGTGTGTGTATGTGCGTGTGATGCTACCTCTCCTCCCGTCCCTCTCCAGGGGCCCCGCATACACACGGCCATGCACGCACACACTGGGCCTGGGCCAGGACCCCGGAGCTCCTGCCTGAGCTGGACCTTATGCAAACATTTCTGTGCCTGCTGGGTAGGGGCACATCTGAGGGGCCCTGCTCCAAGCCTGCAGGACCGAGGGCCACAGCCGGACAGGGGTTAGCCCCTGGATTCAGGCACATGACCACCACACGAGTACGTGCCACGCATGCCTCGTGTGCTCATCTCACACACACCCCCCTCCCGGGTCATGCAGACACCCCCACCACACACATCTCATGCTGTACACCTGAGGCTGCTCACGTCTCACGCCCAGTGTTGGTGCATATTTGCCTCTCACGTGCTGCCCTCTCTCCACCCACCCAGGGACACCCCACGGCTCCTCCCTGCCCCTGCCCCTCCCCCAGCCTCGAGGTGCCCTGCCCGGCGGGGCCTGTGAATATGCAATGGGAGTCCCGGGCTGTACAGTGGCGAGTGTGTGTGGCGTGGTGTGCCCGTCCCCAGGGCTGGCTGGTGCCCCACGCGGGGCCTGTCATGTGAAGCTCGTGTCCTGACTTTGTCTTAAGTGCATTCACGCACTTACACTTGGCCTTATGTACACAGCCTTGCCCGGCCGCCGGGGCGCATAGGGATTTTATTGGACGTGAATGTAAATAAATTATATATATATATTGCTAACCGGAGTGCTACTTCTCTCGGGGAAAGCCAGGGAGAAAGGCCAGATGGCCACAGAGGGGTCACACGTGGGATGTCCCGGGAATCCTGGGTGGCTGGGCCTGGCTGGGAAACAGGCAGACCCCGACGCAGGTCCAGCAAGGCTGCGGTGGAGCCTCCTCAGCCTGGAGATTTCCTCAGACACGAGTCAACTGTGCAAGCCGGCAGGCAACAGCGGTGACCAGGGCTGCACCTTTGCCGGACCCATCCTCTGACTGCAGGAACGTGACCACACAGCGAGGGGCCAGCTCCCGCACCGTGGCTGCCACCAGGCTGGAGAAGCTGTGAGGGGAGGACTGAGGTGAGCCCAGGCCACCAGCCCCACCTAGCCACACCTCCCTCCCCAGCCCGCACACCCAGACTCACTGCGGGTGCAGCTTGTAGAGCGTTCCATCCACCCCCACAGACACTGCCAGCTCTTCCAGGCCCCGGTTCTCCCGGATCTTCTCCACCACAGCAGCTACACCCGCCCCACAGAGCTGGGCAGCCCGCTGGGACACGGCCTGGCACACCTCTAGCACCATGAGGGCATCATCTGAGGTCAGGGGCAGCCCCAGATCCTCTAGGATGGCTCGGACCTGCCGCAGGGCCAGGCTGTCGCTGGGGGCCAGGAAGGAAGAGAGCACAGAGAGGCGGGTCATGACTTCTCCCACGTCATCCTCCAGAGCGGATCTCGCCACCACCCATGGCCAGCAATCCCCCACAGTGGACAGAAATACTCCCTGAAGTAGGGGAGGCAATGTAGGCCTCAGGCACCTTTCGATCTCAGAGAGGAACTTGGTCTTGAAGATGTCCCTGGTCTGAAGGCGCTGGGTCTGCTGGCCCCGGAAGAGAACGCCAAGGCTGGTTAAATGTAAAAGGATGTGGCGGACGATCTCCCCCAGGTACATGCCGCTGATCATCTTTTCAAACCTGCACGAACGTGTGTGTGCTCACAGGGCAGAAGGCCCCCCCGGCCACAGTCCCCAGCACCGGTCACGACCAGCCACCACTGCCTGGGCCCAGCCCACACCTCTGCTTGCCGGGGTTGATGGACGCCTGGTCCACACTTGCATCAAAGCAGGTGCTGAGCATGGCCAGAGAGCCATCGTCCCCAAAGGCACCCCACTCCATGTTGATGCACATGCGGCCTGAGTCCCCAGGCACGCCCGCCACATTCCTGAGCTCCTCCATGTAGCAGGCATTGGTGCCGGTTCCTGCAGAGAGGCCAGATAACGTGGAAGCTACTTATTGATGCGGACAAGGACCCTCTGAGTACTTCCTATACCGAGATGGCAACATTCGGGCTCATTCTCTCTACCTCTCCGTCTCCTCATGCTCACAGCCTGTCCCTAGTCCTGGTCCTCCTTCCTCCCAGACATCCCTCGTGCAGACCCTGCCAGTTCCAAGGCCTGGGGACCTTCACTGCCTTTCCCACCAACATCACCATCAGTGCATCCACCATGCCACCCCCAAGTGCTCCTACAATGCCCAGCTGTCCTGTCATTCCCCTGGGAGACATGTGACATCCCCCGTCCTCGTCCCCAGCTCTCTGCGGTTGAGAGACCGAAGCTCCCTGGACTGGCCTGCCAGGCCCTTATTCCAACTAAGAGGTGCTGGACCAGGAACAGGGGACACAGAGAAATCAGAGATGAGGAGCCCCACATTCTGGCCAGAGGTCAGGCAACGAATAGCCAGCTCTGACGGAGCCTCTGTGTCCCTGTGAAAGCACCAAGGAGAGCATCGTGGGAGCCCAGACCACGGGGCAAGTCTCTGCCAGCAGGGTCAGGAAAGCAACAGAGAGGAAGTGACCGAACCCAAGAAGCACAGAAAGGAAAAGGCATTCCGGGCAGAGGGCGCACCCTGAATGAGGGCGTCTCCCTCCTCTCCCTGACACAGCTTCAGCTCCAGGCAGGTGGGCTCCTTGCTGGCCCCACCTGGAGTTCCTCTGTCCAGCTGTTTATGCCCACAGCAAGCTGGGCATGCCTCTCCTAAGTGCCTAACTGTGCGCTGCTGCCCACGTGTAGAATCGAGTCACTCTCTGACCACCGCGTGTTGTTCTGGGCTTAACCCTTGCTGAGTGGTCAGCTCTGAGAAGGCAGAAATTGCCTCTTGTTTTATGTGTCTTCCTGTTCCTCTGTCCAGTCCCCTGTGGACACAGGGCAGGAGCTCAGTAAGGACGGAATCTTGGACTGTCTGAAGGACCTTCACTGCTCATTGCTTCCCTGCCCCCGCCCAGCTCCAAACACCAGGTGTGTGCCGTGAGCCAGGGACCATGCTATATTTTGTCCCCTCCCATTTCATCCTCGTGATGCCTTGAGACAGGCATTGTTATTCTTATCTCTGTCTTAGAGATGAGGAAACTGAGGCTCTGGTGACTTGCCCAAGGTCACACAGGTGGAAACACAAAGCTAGTATTTCCACCCAAATCTGTACAACTCCAAAGCTCAGATTCATTTATCAGATGGCAAACTGAAGTTCAGAGAGCTTAAATGACCATGAGTCAGTCACTGAGCTGGACTAAACACCCAAGCTCTAGACTGCCAGCCCGAGATTGTTCCAGAGCCCCACTGGGTCAGACCAGAGCAATCCTACATCCCCAACGCCAAGGAAACATCCAAGCGGAGGAATCCACAGAAGGCAGCAAATTACCAAGCAGTAGGGGCATGAAAGGGCAGGGCCCTCCTCACCGACAATGAGGCCTATCTCGCAACGGGGGTCCTCATAGCCACAGGACATCATGGTCCCCACCGTGTCATTGACAATGGCAACCACATTCAGCTCCACTGCCTGCACACAAAAGGATGCTGCTAGTTGCTGGGCAACGCGGTCGTCACAGCAACCAGCACCGGACCCAGAGGTCTCTACCGCAGAGGGCTCCCCGCTCAGAAACCAGGAGACTCTTTGCTCCCCTCAAGGGCTGCCACAGCCCCAAAGCACCCCTAGAACAGGCTCCTACCTGTCTGCGCGTGATGGCTTCCCGCAACAGATTCACGACATCTTGGCCCTCACAGTCTGATGCATTAAAACCCTTGGTCCAGTTCAGGAGGATGCCCTGGGGTGAGAACAAGAGGAAGTGGCAGGAAGCTGGAGGCCCCTTCAGGCTCACTCTGCCTCTGCAAAGCCTGCATCCATCACAAGCCTAAGATTTCCACCCTCCCCAAGCACAATTCCTTGCCTACTTTGCTGTATGGTTGAAGGCCTTGCCCTCTGCCCGCTCCCTACTCCCCAGGAGGCTTTCGGTGTTCAAAAACCTATTAATAACCATCTAACCTACATTTTCCATTATTAGTTCCAGACAGTCAGAGGGTCTGGCCATTTTAAGACGTTTGCCCAGAAGGAATGGCCCTTTGTAATTGGGTTAGGAATGAACAGAGCTGGTAAAGTGAGTGCTGTGTGTGAAACGGGAGGACAGAGAAGGCTCAGAGGCCCAGATGACAGCAGATCCCACCCTTTCAGAAAGAACTCCAAGTTACTCGAGAGGAAGGAATTCTCAGCTTCAAGGATAGAGCTGTGTCAATGGGTGAGTCACTCGAGTGTTCCAAACACAAGGGGAGGAGGAATGGAAAAGCCAGAACCCAGGCCCTGGGCAGGATGAAGGCAGAGTTCCTGGATTGTGAGAAAAGGGACTTAGAACTTAGTGACACAGGGCTCGACGGTACCTGGAAAGGAGTGCTGTTTTCTGAGTGTGCGTCCTGTGAGGGAGGGGGCAGGGGGAGCAGGAATTAGTCTACAGCTGTTGGGACAAAATTACTGCTTTGCTCAGAGGAGGAGCACGGAGGGTAGGTCAGGAAATCCTTGGGGCAGAAGATTTTAGAAATAGTAACCAACATTTTCCTCCAATAATATGTCCTTTTATTCCTTTTTTTAAATTGTTATAAGCTCATTGTCTCAAAAACAGAAAGCAGAGAATGTGATAGAATGAGAGAAAGAATGTTTGAGAGAAAGAAGCCGTTTGAAAGAGACCAGATGATAAGTAATAGCCCCTGTGTGGGCTGCTACCCCTAGAATGCAGAAGGGTAGGCAAAGGGGGACATCAGAGCCAGGTTGCTGATGGCTTCCTGAGACAGGTGTCCTATGCCCTCCCCGCTGGGCTGAACTCCTGTTCAGAAGGGATCTGAGAAATCTGAGAACAGAAGAGGCCCCTGCCCTCCTTCCCCAGGTAATGCCCAGGAAGGTGTCGAGACTCAAGAGAGAAAGTGGCAGAGGGAAGTGCCCAGAGAGCAGGGCCCGGGGCACCTCCCTGTGTCCCTACATCCCTGCAAATTCTGCACAGCAGAGGCTGCTGCAGAGCCAAGGGGGCTCCTGGGGAAGGCAATCCCCACACTGGTTAAGTTTTCACCCCTGAGAAGAATGTGGGCCCAACATTTGTTTTTATTTTAGACGGAGTCTTGCTCTGTCGCCCAGGCTGGAGTGCAATGGCACAATCTCGGCTCACTGCAACCTCTGTCACCCGGGTTGAAGTGATTCTCCTGCCCCAGCCTCCCAAGTAGCTGGAATTACAGGCGCTCACTGCCACACCCAGCTAATTTTTGTATTTTTAGTAGAGATGGCGTTTCAGCATCTTGGCCAAGCTGGTCTTGAACTCCTGACCTTGTGATCCACACGTCTCAGCCTCCCAAAGTGCTGGAGACCTGAGCCACCACGCCCAGCCTTCAGCACAGAAATTAAGTTCATTTACAGAAAATTAATAAGACTCTATTTCTTGCCCCCACCCCCACCCCCGATTTGCACATGGAGCCTCACCTGCTTCTCACATCTTACAAGGAATAATCAAAAGGACTGAGCAGGCTTAGCCTGGAGCAGAGCAGCCAAGCAGCAAGACTGGCCCACTGCACCATCCAGAGGATCACCGTGTAAAAGAAAGCAGAGTACAGAGTTGCACAGCAGGTGCAGTGCGGCGGCTCACGCCTGTAATCCCAACACTTTGGGAGGCTGAGGTGAGCGGATCACCTGAGGTCAAGATTTCTAGATCAGCCTGGCCAACATGGTGAAACCCCGTCTCTACTAAAAATTAGCTGGGCATGTTGGCATGTGCCTGTAGTCCCAGCTACTTGGGAGGCTGAGGCAGGAGGATCGCTTGAACACAGGAGGTGGAAGCTGCAGTGAGTGAGCCAAGATCATGCCATTGCACTCCAACCTGGGTGACAGAGCGATTTCTTGCATATCAGAGAGAGGTCAGAGCAGGAGTAGGGGGTGAAAATCACATGGAGGCTGGTTGGAGTAGGTGAGATGAAGCTTTTCATTGAACACAGGTGTCTAAGAATGCAACTGTTGCCTTCAGGGGCAGTGAGCTCCTCGGCAAGAGCCTTTCAAGCAGAAGCTGGGTATGTTGAGAGGAAGATTCCGGAGTTTGGACCAGAGGCCCAGGAGGTATTGTTTCTGTGACAGGCTTCAGGTGTGCACATTGAGAAGTCCTTCATCCTTGTGTAAGGACAAGCTAAAGTGTGTGCTGAGTAGGGATGTGTGTCTCGGCCTATGCCTGGCCCTCTGCCACCCTAGTCATGCACCCACCACCGAGCCAGGCACTGAGAAGGAAACAAATGAAGAAAGGAGGAGGAGAGAGGCCAAAAAAACCCCAAGCAACCTCAAGCCCCTGCTAGAGACAGGAACAAACGCTGGTTCCCGCAGGACCCTGAGGCCCACACACCAGTGCTATAGCTAGAATGGATGCTCTGTCCTCTGATCAACCCCAGTCTAGGCCTGACCTGCTCCCAAATGCTTCAGACCCTGACCCTGGGCCTACCCTGTCTGGGGAAACTGAGGCTGTGTGCAAGGCCAGCCCAGCAGTGCTGCCACCACCACCAACCCCAGCCCCCACCACCACCCAGCCTTTTCCCCTGCCCCCTGCCCACTCCATGAAGGGTATGTGGGCAGGAGGCCCTTGGGAATCACTTCTCTTGGTCCTCCCTCACCTGGTCCAGGCCAAGCTGCCTACATGGGAAGGAGAAGGTAAAACCCAGTGGGAGGCTCTGCCCACTCAGGCCCTGCTTCTGCTGGAAGTCCACGATGCAGTCCACAATGTGGTCAAAGAGCTGTGGGCAGGACAGGTCAGGCGTAGGCACTGCTCAGCCCTTCCCCACCTCCGACACCAAGGTTCAGGCTGTGGGTACCTGCTGCCCAGAGCCCTGGGCCACACTCTCAGGAATGGAGTAGATCTGGCTGGTGATCTGCACACCTGTGGTCACACGTACCAGGAGGACACGGAAGTTCGTGCCCCCGAGGTCCAGGGCCAGGAAATCCCCTCGCTCTGTGGGGCAGAGACCCTCAGTGCCAGGACAGTGCTTGTGGCTCCAGCCCTACCCCACACTGTGACCCCATGTTTCGGTCCCACACTCAGGCCAGGTCCTTACCGCTGCCGTCAGGCGTGGCCCGGACAAAAGTGGGCAGCATGCGAAGGGAGGAGGCCTCCCCTCGGAGCCCCTTGACCATGGCCTTCCGCATCTGTGCCTGAACCGCTGCCAGCTGATCGTGGTTTAACCGGAACGGGGCCAGGGTCTCCTCCAGCAGGCGCCGGTGGGCAGCCAGACGGGCAGCCACGGCAGTCACCATCGCCACTCCCCGGCCACCACCATCCGCAGAGGGGATGAAGGAGACATCGCATTCCGGGGCCAGGAGCATCACTGTCCCCTGCAGGATGCCGCAGAACCTATGGATACACACAGGTGCGCCCGGCTTGGCCCCGGACCCCCAGACACACACAGGTGCGCCCGGCTTGCCCCTGGACCCCCAGACACATACAGGTGTGCCCAGCTTGGCCCCGGACCCCTCGGGCCTCCTGAAGCCCAAGGCCCCATCACTTTTTTCTTTTTTAAATTTTTCTAGATACCGAGGCTCACTCTGTCACCCAAGCTAGAGTGCCATGGAGTGATCATGGCTTACTGCAACCTCAAACTCCCAGGCTCAAATGATCCTCCCACCTCAGCCTCCCAAAGTGTTGAGATTACAGGCGTGCACCACCATACCCAGCCTCCCCTATCACTTCAATTCTAAATCTGTTCTGTGCACCAACCATAAGCCCTAATGTCCCCATGGCCTCTACCCTTGCACACACAAAGGGAAGCATTGTTTCTCTCCTTGGATGTCTTCTGGCCTCCCATAGCTCAGTCTGGGCCTCCCTCTGCCTAAGTGCCCTTCATGTCCACTGGCTTGCAGACGTGATCCCAGAGGACCCTCTGGGTGTATATCACACACACGTGCTCATGCCACATAATCATGAGGATCATGTTTCCACAATACCTGGGGTGCCGCTCACACACTCGGCCTCCAGTGGCCACAGCGACCTGGAGTGTTTGTTGCTCCCGGCTGTGCTGGAGGTGGGAGAGAACAGCGGCCAGGGCGGCAGCACAGAGCTGGGCAGCCCGCGTGCATACGGCCGTGCACACGTGCTGCACAAGCTCAACATCCGAAGCCCCAGGGCTCAGGCCCAAGTCCTGCAGGATAGCACGGACACGGGCTGCCCCAGCAGAGGGGCTGGGGAGGAAAGAGAAGTGGTTTGGAGCTCAGCCCAGAAGCTCCCCATCCCACTAAAGCCCTGTGGCTACCTTGGGGACAGAGTATCCTCCCCTTACCCCAAGCCAAGAATCCCCCAGTAAGCCACCATCTCCCCCACTCACTCCTCCATCTCAGCCACGTGTTCCAGGAGGATGCTGCCTCGACTCAGCAGGGCAGGGGAGGTGCCGCCACCAAAGAGGACCCCACGCTGGGCCAAGTGAGCCAGCACCAGCCGCACCAACTCACCCAGATACAGGCCTCCAATCATCTTCTCAAACCTGAAGGTGGAAAGGGTGGCTGGACAAAGCCTTTTCTAAGCCCTCAGTCCACCTCGTCCTACCTCCAAGCATTCCCAAAGAAGGATTCTTTTCTTTGGGGCTCCCAACTTGGAGACTCCAGAAGCAACGAATGGCCTCCCAGTGGACAGGTGGGTGTATGCCTAGACCCCATCACCCCCTCTGGCATAGGTTACATTCCGAAGCCTTGGGGAGAGGAAGAAGGCGGCAGAGAGCACTTTGCTCCGCCACTTCCAGCCCTCAACCCCCAACCTGTCAGGGCAAGGCAGAGTCAGGAATCGGGAGGACCAAGGGTTGACAATTCTGGGTTCTAGAACTTTGGGCCCTTCCTTCTTTGAACCTGGCCAGGGCCCCAGGTTGCTCCCTGGAGGCCCTCAGAGTGACAGGGAGGGGCCTAAGGGCCTGAGAACAGGAACAGAAGGAGCAGAGCATAGATAGGGCCTGGAACCAAAGGTCAGGGCCCCCCACCAGGGCACCTCTGAGCACCAGGATTCAGGGACTCATGGTCCAGGGTGTGGTCGAAGGTGGTCAGCACTGGCCCCAGCGCCCCAACATCACTGAAGGAGCCCCACTCGACGCTGACACAGACGCGGCCCCGGTCTTCATCCAGCACTGCCACGTGCCGCGCCTCCTCCATGTAACATGCATTGGTGCCCGTGTCTGGCAGAGACGAACCTGTCAGGACCTGCTCGCCAGGCAGCACACCCTCCACCCGTCATCACAAATGGTCTGTGGCTCACCTACAACTAGCCCAACCTCACACGGCCTGGCTCCCAGCTCACAGCCCATCATGGTGCCCACTGTGTCGTTCACCACGGCAACCACGTCGATGTTGTAGGCCTGGATGATGGAGAGGGCAGAGGTCAAGGCTGGCCTGAGTGGTCAGAGCAGGGAATCCAAGGGATGGGCAGGGCTGGGGCCCTGGCTTTGGAAGAGACACATAGAGTCCAGGAAACACATGTCTGCACGCCACACACATTTGTGCCACAGACGCTCTGGGCTTCCATTTTATAGGAGCTTTTCCTCCAATCTCACCCTCAGCTCCTCCCTAACCCCCAACTCGGGCCCCCAGGTCACAGTGACGTCCACCCTCAGCATCTCCCAGGACCAGGATGAGTTTCCTGAGACTGAGCACCTCCTTGAACACTGCGCCTTCCCAGCCTCACTGTCATTCTGCCTGGCTCCCCAAGCCCGTTCCTCCCAGCACTGGCTTCTCGCCACAGAGGGTTAGTCCAGACGAACCAGCCTTTCTCCAGCATCCAGACTGTCGTGTGTGGCCTTCTCTGAGACTAGATCTTCTGCCCCAGTCCCAGCCTGACTTGAAGGAGGCAAACTCTTCCTTCAAGTCCCTGATCGAACAGCCGGTGCTTCCTCTGTAGTACTCCCAGAGTTGTCCACGCACTACTCCTTGACGCGGACAATCTTTTATTAGAATGTGTCCCCCTCTAGACTGTGAAAACCTTGAGGAGGAGGTCAAAGTCTGTTCCTGTTTGTTTGTCCCGGGCCCTGAACATTTATTTGACCTTTCTTAGCCTCAGTGTTTTTTAACCTATACAATGGGAATGGGAGCAACATGTACCTGAGGTTAAACTGGATGGAGGACATGAAGAGAAAAGGAAAGCAGCTCTCCAGAAGCCTAGGCCCCACACATGTGTGCCAGGCCCAGGCCAGCATGGGCCTCCCTCCTGTCACCCCTCCCTCCACTCACCCCATGCCTCTGAATGGCGTCTCTCAGCAGCTGGACCACATCCTGCCCTTCCACACCACTGCACCTAAAACCTTTGGTCCAGGAAATGAGGGTGCTCTGGAGGTAGAGAAGCTGAGTTACTCCTCTGATGGCCTTCATGGGGCTGCAGCCACCCTCCACCCAGCGTCCCAGGTCCACTCCACCTCACCCTGTCCAGGCCCGTCTGGTGACAAGGGAAAGAGAAGCTGAAGCCAAGTTGCAGACCCTGTTTGCTCACAGGCTGCGTGTCCAGGAACTCAGACAGGCAGTGGGCAGCAAAGTCAAAGAGCTGCAGGAGAGGTGGGGGCTCAGCCTTGCCCATCTGAGCCCCAGCTGCCCAGCCAGGCCCCCAGACCCCAGACGCTGGGCAGAGAGTGCTTACCTGCTGGCCAGCACCCAGCATCACCTCTTGGGGGATCACAAACTCCTGGCTTCTGGGCTCCACCCTATGCCCCTCAATGCCAGTTAGAGTCACCCACAAAACACGCAGTGAGGCCCCTGTGGCCCCCAGCTCCAGCACCATGAAGTCTCCTTGCTCTAGAGGGCAAGCAGGTCACAGAAAGGCATGCAGCTGGCACGACCAGAGCCCTCTGCCCACTTCCCAAATTCCTAAGGCCTGCAAAGTCTGGTCAAGGAGCCATAGAGATGGGGGACAGTAATAAGGAACATTTCCCTCCCCTAGATCAGTACCCTCTTCCAGGCCTGGCCACGCATCTCAGTCTATGCTACCCACCAGTGCCATGTGGGGTGGAGCCCACGTATGTAGGCAGCATCCGGACCGCAGGGGCAGGGCTGGCCTGTCCCCTCAGCGCCTGCTCCATGGAACCCAAGAGGCTGGCTTGGATCTGCTGTAGCTGTGCCCTTGTCACCTTGAACTGCTGCAGGCACTCCTGCACCTGGGGAGAAACAGGCCAGCATCTGGGAAGGAGCACTGCTGGGCTAGCCAGACTCCCCAACTCCAACCAAGGCAGAGGCCTGCCCTGCCCAGCCCAGCCCACTTCTCGGCTCTTCATACACCTGGCTCTCTTGCCAACAGCCTGCACCCAGCTCTGGCCTCCTCAGAAGGCTCTGTCCTGGAAAGACAACCCACCTTCTTCCTCCTCCTGCCCCATTACCTCACGGCTCCTTCTCAACTCCCTGCATCCTCTACCCTACCCCCTTCTTCTTTGAATTCAGGGTTTGGCAAGACCTTCTTCCTGTCGTACCGCAGATGATTGCTCTCTGGTTCCCCAGGACCCACAGCAAGAGTCTCTCAGTGAGTTGTTGTTGAACGAACGAGAGAATAAACAAATGCACGAACGAACTTCAAGTGTTTCCCTCTCCTAACCCACTCTCAGACTCTGAAGCCTGAAAAGGCCCAGCACGAAAGCATTTGGAGAGCACAATGCAGAAGATGGTCCTTTTTTCCTTCGGTCATCCTTCCTGAAACATTGCTCTAGCCCTCACCACGCACCCAGCTCTAATCTAAGCACTGCACACACATAACCACCCAAGAAGCAACAAATGCTTTAGATTCCAGGGTGGGAGATAGAAATTAAGCATATAAACATACAATTTGGTTCCAGTAGTGACGGTGGCTATTAAAGGTGGGGTGCAGGATAAGAAATTAGAGAGTGACCAGGGTAGAAAGAGGTATTTTTAGATATGAGTCCAAGAGGGTTTCCCAGAGGAGGTGACCTAAATGAAGGAAGGGAATAAATAAGCCATTTGAAGATCCAGGGGAAGAGCGAGGGGATGGATTTGGGGAAGACTGATGTGGGGGTGGATCAGAGTCTGAAGGGGCAGGTGAGAAGGCAAGGAAGGCAGAAGCCGGGACACCGCAGGCTCTCACTCCACCAGAAGCCCAGTAGCTTAAGAGCCCCAGGGACCTCATTCCTGTGAGCAAAACCCTCCCCTAGACGACTCTCACCCATCCTTCAAAGAAGCCCCGACAGCCTCCCTGGATTCATTGAAGGGTCACAGCCCAGCAACTCCATCCTCCTCCTCCTCAGGCTCAGACTTTCCAAAGCCCCCACTTCCTGTCACACGGGAGTTCTATTTCAATGATCTATTGCCCCAAACTGGACCCTTATCTGTGAAATAACAACTCAGGCACCTGGATAATAAGGCCCCTCCAGGGAGGAGAGGCTGGGAGGGAGGAGAGGCTGGGAGGAGAGGCTGCCGTTTGAGGGAGATAAGGACAGCTCAGTCCCACCTCTTGCTTTAGGAAGAGAATGGGAAATAGATCCCTAAGGAGGCAAATCATCCTAACTGGGGTGCCAGATGTCCACTTACACGTTCACCTTACAGCACATGCTTCTAACAGCCATGCATGCTAGGGGTGCCCATGCCCACTCTACCTCACCCTGACCAGGCCAGTCTGGTGACAAGGGAAAGAGAAGCTGAAGCGAAGCTACAGACCCTGTTTGCTCACAGGCTGTGCATCCAGAAACTCAGGCAGTGAGCAGCAAAGTCAAAGAGCTGCAGGACAGGCGGGGTCTCAGCCTTGCCCCTCTGAGCCCCAGCCACCCAAGTGTTAGAAACATGGAAACGGAGGCTCCAAGAGGGCAAGTCAGCTGCCTGGCCCAGCAGCTGTGAAGAGGCAGGGGAGAATCTGAATCCGTATCTGTCTGACTGCAGAGATGTTTCCACGTCAAGTGAAGCTTTATAAAACCTAGAAAGTTCCCTTGAAAAGAACCCAAGGCCGATGGAAGTTGCTGGAAAGAAACCCCAGACGATCTGGCTTGAGAAAACTTACACCTAGGTCCTCGCACTCCCTTTTTCTGGCTCTGTGGTCCTGGGAAAGTCCCACTCTCTCTGAGCCTCCGTCACCTCTTCGTGCAAAACTGAGAAAATAATAGTACTTGGAAGTCCCCCAATGCCAGGGACTATGTCTCGCTCAAGGCTACATCTCAGGGCCACGAGGAGCACCAGCTGGGAGCAGGATTTGTTGATTGGATGGTTGTGGTGGCATGAGAATTAAAGGCTGTAATGTATGTGGAAGTGCCAAGTGCTGCTGGGATGGGAGGGGCGTTTTAGTATTGCTTCATGGAAACAATAGAGTCATGGAGAAGTCAATGGCTTGGGCAAATTGTTTTTCTTCCTTTTCCTCTTGGGCACATTGAGATGTTCAGGAGGAGAGACTAGAAGACAGTAGAACTGCAAGAAAGACAGGAGGACTTCCCTGGCAGATCCCGGTGAGGCACACACAAGCCAAGAGAAGGTATTGGAGCCACCTCCGACACCCCAGGAAGAGCGGGGAGAGACCTCTGCCAGAAGAGCAAGGAGAAAGGCAGTAGAGAGCGTGTGAAGTCCAGTGTGGTTTCAACTCTGGCTCTTGTCACCAACTTGCTGTGTTGCTGGCCTGGGCCCATCACCTCACCTCTCTGAGCAAGTGACCCCTCTATCTAACAGGAACAATAGTACCCACTTCTCAGAGGTGCCACGAGGACGGAGAAGACAGAAAACCGGAAGTGGAGGAACAGCGCCACACGTAGGAGATGCTCAGCGAAGCACAGGCTCCCTGTCCTCAGAGCACAAAGCACACCTGGCCTGGAGAGCCTGACTCCATACCTCTCTGATGACAAAGAGAAGCCTAGGGGAAGGGGTCGGGAAGGGCCTCTGAGATGGGGCTGGGAACTGACCACACGTGGTTAACTAACCTTTTTTCAACCTAAGGTCATAGCAAGGGGAGCACAGGGTAAGGCCTATGGTGCTGAGTTGGGAGTCCAGGACCATGGGAAATTTGGTGTCCCTGTGAAGTCTCCCAAAGCCGAAGGGAATTCTTTCAACCGCAGGTGTATGTGATGGAGCCAGCAGGGCAAACGTGGGCCTGCACAGGAGTGTCAGCAGGGAGGGGCGAGAAGTGAGGGAGGAGATGACAGCAGGCCCTAGAGCCAGTCCTGGCTGAGCAGGCACTGGGGCCCAGCCACTGCTCTCATTCCTGAGGCACGGCTGTGGGTTGGGCGCAGAAGAACTGTCTGCAGCAGGGTCTGGGGCACTGGTTGGACAAGGGGGAAGTGGGAGCATGAAATGAAGCGAGGGGTAACACCCCCACAATCTGGGCAACAAGCCTAGTCAAGTGGATGTCAGAACATGCCAGAAAACTAAAGAAACCACAGAGAATGACTCAAGAACCCTTTAGTGGGCACCTCCTCTATGCAAGTCCTGTTTATTTATTTATTTATTTATTTACTTATTTATTCATTCATTCATTCATTTTTAGACAGAATCTTGCTCTGTCGCCCAGGCTGGAGTGCAGTGGCACAATCCTGGCTCACTGCAAGCTCCGCCTCCTGGGTTCACACCATTCTCCTGCCTCAGCCTCCCGAGTAGCTGGGACTACAGGCACCCGCCACCACACCCAGCTAATTTTTTGTATTTTTAGTAGAGATGGGGTTTCACCGTGTTAGCCAGGATGGTCTCGATCTCCTGACCTTGTGATCTGCCTGCCTCGGCCTCCCAAAATGCTGGGATTACAGGCGTGAGCCACCGAGCCTGGCCTTTTTTTTTTTTTTTTTTTAGATGGAGTTTTGCTCTTGTTGCCCAGGCTGGAGTGCAGTGCCACAATCTCAGCTCACTGCAACCTCTGCCTCCCAGGTTCAAGCGATTTTCCTGCCTCAGCCTCCTGAGTAGCTGGGATTACAAGCATGCACCACTATGCCTAGCTAATTTTGTATTTTTAGTAGAGACGGGGTTTCACCATGTTGACCAGACTGGTCTTGAACTCTTGAACCTCAGGTGATCCACTCGCCTTGGCCTCCCAAAGTGCTGAGATTACAGGCGTGAGCCACCGTGTCCAGCCATAGGCAAGTCCTTTATCTCCATTAGCCTTCGGGGGTGGGGAATATTAGATTTTATTTTCCTCCATTTTCCCGATGAGGAAACAGAGACTAAGAGATAAGAAATGGCTTACAAAAGAGTTTCCTGCTCAAGGGTGTGGTATGAGACAACTTCTAAATCTTGGTCAAGATGACAGAAAAAGGAGAAACTCACTTCTGAGCAAGCCTCAGGCATGAGTTTGGCACTAAAATCATCTGTGTGCCTGATTATAGTGGCTACGTTGAGGGAAACATGCAAGAGGAACTGGAGAGGCGGGAAAGGTCTCAAGAACACAGCTTTTGACCACATAATCCTGGGAAGGTCCACTCTAGACTGTGTCAACCCACTTGGGGCGGGAGCAACACCTGTGTGGCAAGGTGGCAAAAGTGATATGTTTGGAGTTGAAACACCTCAGCTCGAGCTCCTGTCATGTCTTAAACTCAAGTCATATCACTTCTCTATGTCCCTTTTCATCACCTGTAAGATGATCATCCCAACCTTGCAGTTGTTTTGGAGCCTGAAAAGAGATCGTTACCAGCTCAGATATGAAAAGCTTGGTGGAAAGGGGCTGCATGGGTGAGAGCGCAGGGCCCCATGGCAGCTTCAGTCACGCAGCTCTTGATGGCCTTGAACAAGCATGAAACAGGAACCCAGTGCTGAACTTACCAGCTCTGAGCTGTCTGAGGGCCCGGGCAAGCCCTCCTCAGGGTAACTCAGGGCTTCTTCCCCCTGCCGCAACCCTGCAGATCCAACGGAGTCCATGAGCTTCCACAGTGGAGGCTGGCCACCTACAGTAGAAAAGGGATAACCTGGGTCAACCATTTACTCTACAGGCCCTAGGAGTCTGTAACCCAGACCAACTTCCTTCCTTCTGAAGGGGACCAGGAAGGAAGCTGGGAGCAGAATCCAGAACCTGCGACCATCAGAGATCCTGTAGCAGTCAACCAGAAGGCCCTTGTTTTTCACAAGCATGTGAAACGAGAGAACACTGGAAAGGCTGATTTCAGTCCAAATGCTGTTCATTAATTCTGTCATTCATTGACATTCACCAGTTCCTGATGCCTGCTATGCTGGACGTTGTGGTACAGATGAAGCAGACCTAGGCCCTGCCCTCAGGGACCTCAGTCTCATCAACAATCACAGTATGATTAGCACAGGCAGTGGGTGAGATGGCCACATGTAATAGATGGACATGCTGCTGTGGTTGGGAGGTCAGGGACATGCTAGAGGCTTGGAACAAAGAAGGGAGCAAAGACCTGCCAGAGAGGCAGGCAGGCTGGACTAGGAACAGCCGTTGTGCCAGGCTAAGGCACGTGAATTTCCTCCTGAAGGCAACAGGCTTCATGGACAGGGGTGGATCTGTGCTTCAGAAAGGGGTTCCACTAGTGACGTGACCTTGGGCAAGTCATTTATGACTTCTTTGAATTTCAGCTTCCATCCGTAAAACAGGAGGAAATAGTATCTACCCTCACAAGGTTGTTGTGAGCGCTAAATAGAGTTAACACCTGGGGAAATGCTTTATGAGATGTGATGTGCAACATAAACCAGGGGGGTTTTAACAGTGCAGTAATGCAGAGCAGAAAGAGCCCTGTGCTCAGAGGTGGGGATCCTGCTCTCCACAAGGCAGCTTCGCCGCATCTCTCAACCTTGAGGCTTTTCATCTGTGAAATGGGACCAACATGTATTAAAGGGCTGTGTGGGGCACATGAGATCATGAGAGCAAAGGAACTTGCTCAGATGTGCGTTCAGATTTATGTAGCTGAATCTGAACTGAAACTCTGTGAGTCTCCATTTCCTCTTCTAACATGGAAAGCTAAGTTCTTGGGAGGATTAAAGGAGTGAGTGGTCCTTTGCACACTGTAAAGAACTGTAGAAATGTCATACTTCGCTCATCCGAGCTGGAGGTGGTGTTGCTGTTCCCGTAGTCCCAAGGGAGCCTTCAGTGAGTCAGGTGCTCTTTAGGGGTGGGGAAAAGGGAAACACAGCAGAGGGTCCAGTATGGGAAGAGACATCTGTCCACTGAGTCACTTTACCTCTCTTCCCTGCAACAGCAGAACTTCTGGAAACACAATACCTTCCCACCCCTGCACTCTCCTCCTCGCCTACTCCCATTACACTCACTAATTTGCCCTCTCCACATGGTCACTCATGACCTCCTAACTGCCCAATCCCAAGCCTTTTCCTCAGCCCCCACCTTTACTGCCCTCTCTCACATGCAAAGCCACTAGTCATTCTCTTTGCTACAGAATTCTCCCTGCCCTTAGCTTTCACAGCCAGTCTCTCCTAGGTCTCCTTCCTGAGTCTCTCGTAGTCTTCATCAGTAATTTCTCTTCCTTCAGACAATGGGGTTCCCAAGTTTCTAGTCGTGCCCTCCCCCCACACTCCCTTTATCTCACCCATCCCCAAGGTTTCATTAATAGCTGTTTCAGGGCTCCCAAATCTACCTTTGGCCTCAGCCAAATCCTAAGTCCCAATGGTCTGTGAGACATCACTATCTGGATGGTGGAGAAGCTCCTCAAATTCAACAAAGCCATACTCATTTTTCCATCACCTTTCCCCCACAAAGCTCTTCTGTTCTCTACCTTGACTGGAGACATCGAAGTGTGCTCACTCACACGGCCATTTGGGTTGCCTGCATGCATCCCTGACCCTCACCTCCTCTATGTAATTGGATCTCAGACTCTCTAAGAGCTCTCCTGGGCATCCCCTCCTCCCCATCCCCACAGCCACTGCACCAGACCATCCTCCGGCCTGATTATTACAACGGCCTCCTAACTGATACCTCTGCTTCTAGTTTCTTCACCTCTTTACCTCACCCAACTTGACCATCTCTGCACTCATGGCTGGCACGGGGTCTGGTATAGGTATGTGCTAATGTGCCTTTCTAAAATTGGAAGGGAGTGGGTAGTTTTTTCTTATTTAATAGAGCAACAAATCAGCTTCTGATAAATCTCCCCGAAACCTTACATACCTATGCTGAGTTTCCGAATCTGCCAAATAGGGGTGTGGAATGCTTGTTCTATGCTACAGGTCTATTTCAAGGATAAAATGAGGTAACTGGGGCAATTACCTTTGAAAAGGACCAAGGGCTACACACGTGGCCTCCTTTCAAGGCCCAGCTAGTTCATTTATTCATTCACTCACTCATTCATTCCCTCATCCATTCGATATTTATTCAGCATTTTTACATGACAAAATCTGTGACGTAATCCCCAAGTAGCCCTAATATTGATATGCTAGGTAAAGGTATTCAGCTCTGTCTCTTCCATCTGAGATTCCCTGTAGGGAGGGTCAAGTCTCCTTCACTGCAGTATCCACAGAGCCCAGGGTCTGTTTGACTAAGGGCCCTTTGGCTTCCCTTAGCTGAATGGGCTACGTGAAGTGAGTTTTCCTCCTGAAAAGTACCCCAGGGACCTCTGCTGATGTTGGGAGCTGCCATCAAGAACCAGCTGGCAGGTTGGGTGTGGTGGCTTCCACCTGTAATCCCAGCACTTCGGGAGGCTTAGGCGGGCAGATTGCTTGAGCCCCAGAATTTGAGACTAGCCTGGGCAACATGGCAAAATGTCATCGCTACAAAAAAAAAAATAGCAAAAATTAGCTGGGTGTGGTCATGTGTGCCTGTAGTCTCAGGTACTCCAGAGGCTGAGGTGGGAGGATCACTTGAGCCCAGGAGATTGAGGCTGCAGTGAGCCGATTGTGCCACTGCACTCCAGTCTGGGTGACAGACAGACAGAACCCGTCTCAAAAACAAAGCAAGAGAACCAGCTGGCTTAATCTTTCCAGTGTCCACTTCCCCTGGCGTGCGCCAAACAGGAGGGATGAGGACAAGACGGTGCGGAAGGAGCAGGCAGTAATCAGACCGAGGCACTTACCTGGGACACACAGAAGCTGGCCACTCTCCTCAGGTCTGAGCTCTTGTCTGGCAATATGAGGCACCCCAATGACCAAAAGTGACATTCAGGGGTGACCTGAGTTATAATATCCTCAAGCCCCACCCTTTTCCTCCACCACCACTTACCAAACATCAGCTAATTCAGGAAGCTGCACTTCCTTCCAGGCCTGCCCTAAGAGTAGCCCAGGCTAGGCAAGGCTGTGGTGAAAACTTGAGCAAGATGATCACCGCAAAGTGGAGCCTTGAACTGGGTCTAAGGTTTTGGGCCATTCCCTCTACAATGCTGAGGGCTATTTATTTTGCAAATAAAATGAGTTTTGAGGTGGTGGCTCGCCCCTGGAAGGAGCTGGGCCTGGAAAGGTTATGGTAAGTACTTTTGAGCAAGAGGCAATGTGGGAGCACAAGAGGAAGGGGCTGACTCTGCAGAAAGTGGGCAGGGCTAGTTGAAGAAGCTGAGCCTTGAAGAAAGAACAGTATGCTGACAAAAGTGGTCCTTGACCAAGTGGAGAGCACGTACACAACCATAAATCACACACACATACAGGTGCCTTCATGGAATGAGGTGCAGCTCCAGGCGCCTGAAGAGGATACACCGAAGCGGGGATATATGGTGGGAGAGGAGGTGACAGGCAGACTGCAGAGTCTAGACTTTAGTCTGTAGGCTGAGCAGGGAGAGTAGCTTCACACGGTAGGTCTTCTTTACTGGAAGGAGAAGGGGAGTGTTAGGCTGCTGTGGAGCTATTGGCCAACAAACTGTCTCTCTGCGGAAATTTCCCCTCAAAGGCACAGAACCTTGGGGCACCAACGTAGAATACCAGACAGCCTGCAACAATCTTTGTTGAACGCATGGATACACTTTAAAGCTTCAGGCTGCCTTGTCAGCAGTAACTCTATCATTATCCACAGATAGTAGAAGACCTCCACATGACATCAGGATGGAGACCAGGGATGGTGGCTCCTCTATCAGTAGTGGCATGAAGAGGCCTGGAAACATGGCAAACATCAGTCCTGCTGTGAAGTTTACTGGGTACCAACCAGGCAAATAGGCTGTGAAAGGCAGGGAAGTGGGGGATGGGGTGGCGGAGGGTAGAGTGGCTGTCACAAACAACATAGCATCCCGCCTAGCCTGGGATCCCAGTCCCTCTCCACTTTGTTCAGTGGGGAGAGGAGAATGTGGAACTGAATATGAAAGGCCCAGCTGTGATTCATGCTGACAGCCTGCAATTTCTTGAGCCAGGGTGAGGATATGCCCCTGACAAGCATTGCCAGGGCTCTTCATCTGTGTTTCTGGAAGGTCTGTGTCCAGACCCCAGGAGCAGGGGTCCTGGTTCCCTAGTCAGAATGCCAGGGAAAGTCTGGGTCAAGGCCAGTGGAGGGAGAAGGATGGCTGAGCGTGAGGTCTGTGAGCAGCTGGGATAGCCTGGCTATAGCAGAGGCACTGCAGCTGCCAGCAGTTCTCTTCAGACACCAGGTGGCCACTGACCAACAAAGGGAAGGACAAGTCCTCACAAGGTTCCCTCAGAGCCCCTTAATGCCAATCTCCAACTGTGCAGATGGAGCTAAGGAATGAGGAACAACAGTTCGCTGGGGGAGAGGCGGGCACACGCAGAGCACTGCCAATGGGCTGGGAGGTCAGGCCTTCCCTCTGAGCTTGCTCACAGGCTTTTCCCCACCCACAGTGCCCCCGGCCAGGCATAGAGATCCTCAACAAGCTCCCCCAATTTGCTCCACACCCTTTATATCATGAACGTGCCTTGCAGCTCTCCTACACACATGGAGCTACTTCTGTTGTGTCTTTGTTTGCACTGACTTGTCTGGAATGACCCTCCCTTTGGCCTCTTCCACCTTTTCACCTTTTTCCTCATCCCTTAAATTATAATCAACGACAATGAGGAGCCCTTCCCTGAAAAGCTCCTCCTGGCCCTGACCCCATCTGAGTGTGGTCTGCTTACTCGTTCCGTATTATCTTGGATGTTCTTGTATCACTGCATTTATATCTGTTTATTAAAGGCATCTGTGTATGTGTTCATCTTCTCCATTGTACTGTGGGCTCCCAGAGAATGTTTCTTATTCACCCATGCAGCCTTAGACCTCACTTCTGTGTCTGGTAAGGAACAAGTATCAGTAAATTTTTGTTAAATTGAAGAGCCCTCCCACAACCTCAACAGTCCAGGGCTGGCCAGGCATGGTGGCTCACTTTGGGAAGCCGAGGTGACCTCACTTGAGGTCAGGACTTCGTGAGCAGCCTGGCCAACATGGTGAAACCCGTCTCTATTAAAAATGTAAAAACTAGCTGGGCGTGGTGGTGTGTACCTGTAATCCCAGCTACTCGGGAGGCTGAGGCAGGAGAATTGCTTGAACCTGGGAGGCATGGGTTGCAGTGAGCTGAGATCACGCCACTGCACTCCAGCCTGGGTGACAGAGCAAGACTTTGTCTCAAAAAAAAAAAGAAAAAGAAAAAAAAGGTCCAGGGCTTTTGAAACTGACAGGAAATAAGTAACCTCTTACTGTCTTCCTGGGTGCATATGGTTTCAGCAGTCTTTCCACTAGTCTATCTTTCCACTGACAACTACAACCCTCTCATCCACTTACTACCTGCCTTCCCCTCCCCAAATTTCCATCTGCTAACAACTTAAGGCCAAAGCTACCCTGATTCGCAGGCAAAAATGAGCTCATTCAAACCTGAAATTTCCCTTAAGTCATTAGTTTTGTGACTGAAATGGGAAGTAGGAAGTAGTGTGGTATAGTACAGAGAGCTTCAGCTCTGGGGTTGGACAGACCTGGGTTCAAAATCCCATCCCATTACCAACTGAATGACCTTAGGCAAATTTCTTCATTCCTCTGAGCCTCGGTTTTCCCTGTATAACACATGGAGACTAATGTCTTCACAGGATTTGCTTTAGGTTAGGTAAACCCAGAAGCAGACCTAATTTGAATGCAAATAACTTTATTCGGGAAGTGATCCAGGACAGGGCCAGAATTAGGGCAATGCAAGTGATATGCCTAGAGTACAGAATGTAAAGAGACCTTCTCGGGTTCATACAGGTGCCAACCTTGCACTTAGATGAACCCAAGAAAAAAGGCTCATCACCCTAGTCCCAGTCCTGATCTGGAAAACACGGAAGAGGAGCTGGAAGCCAGGTAGGAAGAGAAAGCCAATGAAGTGTACATAGTTGTTACTGGGAGATTAGAGAGGTTCACTCCCACAGGGAACCCTGAGAAATAGGTAGAATGTGCCTTAGAGTTGTCCCTCACTGAGTAAGGAAGCTGGAGTATTTATCCTCCCCCTTCCACTGGCTGAGAGCTGCCCCAGGGGCACTAACTCCCTGGCACTCCCAGCTTATGTCAATACAAACCAAGAGAAGTCCTCAGGCAGAGTTTCAGGTACTTACAACAGGACGCTGGGTATACAGCAGAATGGTGAATGCCTGGGGGAAATGGGCGAGGCACAACCTCTGCTGGGGCTACCATAAGGACTAAATGAAAAGCACAACTACAGTGCCTAACAAAGAGAAGTCCCCCTCTCTCTCTTCCAATTTATGGCAATAGCTTGTGAAGTTCATGGAGCTTCCCAGCTCTCCATGAGTTGGCAGCATCAGCAGAACAGCTGTTTCTCATCTTTCAGAAGTAAAAGAAATCCAGCAGCCCTAGGAAAGCTCTAGATGCCCAGGACCCAAGTTTTCTGTGGAAGCCTGATGGTTGATGAAGCCCAAGTAGTCCCTCCTGAGTACGCGCTCCTCTGAAAACTATCTCCTCTTGCATCTGCACCCCCGCCCCCATCCCTCCACCCCTTAGTGCAACATCATTTGTGACACATAGACTAGCATCACATTAATAACTGCTGCCACTAACTCATTCTTCTATGTGACGACATTGTGCTAAAACAAAGCTTTTATCCACATTATGGTAATCCTTAGAACCCTATGAGTATGATTTTTTCCCATTTGATGGACAAGGAAGCCAGGTCTCAGAGAGGTTAACTTTTATCAGAAGCAGGGTGCAGATGTAGGCTGATCTCACACATTTTCTACTTTGTCTCTTCACTCTTTCACTAATGCTCCTCTCACAGGATCACAGCATAGGGAGAATAAACTGGGGGCAAACAAGACGGTTGTAGGGAGGTGATGGGGGAAGCAGGTAGCTGTTCTTCCCTTGACTCCCCATTTAGCTAATAATTAAGCCTATGGTTCCTGGTCTGGCTGATCCATACCCTCCTGCTGCTGACTCATGTTTTAGGGAGACTGCTCAATTTTAAGCTAAATAATTCACTTTCCAGAAGTACCCTTTTCCTTTTCTTATCTTCAAGCGAACAGATACACACACTATCCCCTGTTTATAGAGTGCTACCTCCAATAAATTGCCATTTAATGAGAGAAAACAAGCGAGAGTTAAGCTTATGGGACATAACTGATAAACTACTTTTCACTGGAAGAAAAACGGGAAAATAATCAATACTGGAGTCCAAACATGGCATTTTCTTCAGGAATGAAGAGTAGGGGCACTGTGGTTTCACTGCCATGGACAAAAAGTGGCTTATTTGTTCCCCTAAGGCTTTGTTTCCTCATCTGGAAATTGAGATGATAACGCCTACCCCACAGGGTTGCTATGAGGATTAAATGAAGGCCACATACGTTGCCTGGACCATAGTAGTTGCTCAAAAAATAATAGCTATTTCTTATGTGATGCTAGCCACTAGGTCAGTGCCATCCAACAGCAAGACATTATCTATGGAAGGAAAAGACAGTGAGATTGCCATCTTGCCTTCTTCTAACCCAAAAGCTTGTGCACAAAGGGACCTAGGCAGGAACAAGGCCTTAATGTTTGTGCTGTGTCTTCCATCCCAGCTACGTGTAAACTCCCCAGTCTAACACATACCTCATTTTCATGTTAAAAGAAAACTTTGGACAAAATCAGAAGTTAGGAGAGTCTTCAATGTGCCTGTTTATCCTGTCCCAAGATCCTTTCCTGGTCAACAGCCACCTCCCCCAGTTTTTCATTACATCTTCAAATCAGTTCTGGCCAAAGCTAGCATTCTTCACATCCTTGTTTGGTCGTCGCCTTCAGGTAGCTGCTCCTGCCAACTGACATCCTCTCATGTTTGGAGTCTGTGTGTGGCACGCACTGAGAACAGACCACATCTCTGTTCTGCACTGGAAGCTCCTAGGCAACATGGTGAGGAACGTGCACTATGTTAGTAATGTTACCAAAGTAGAAGCCATGTCCTGTTGCTGCTAACCTTTGGCATCAAGAGAACCAATCTTGATTTGAACAGATGAATATGCCTGGCATCCCCAATGGTTAATCTATTTAGAAAAAATAATTGCATAGGCATCTAATAACAGAGTTCACTTACACATTCCTGGGAAGAATGGCAGGACACATCCCTCAAAGGTTCTATGCTCAGGCTGAGAATACCACTGTGTGAGTACAAGATGAAGGGACAGGTCATTGAATGGCAGGGATGGCAGAATAGATAGTGGGAATCAATGCCCCTGGCACCTCCCAGAATTATGTCAGAAACAGTCAAGGGAATAACCACACAGTGTTCAGAACTGTGCAGTACACATTAAGTGAATATATACATGGTATGTCAAGGATCAGTAATGGAATTCATTCAGCATGTGATTTATGAGTCTAATAACCTATCTCTACAATGAAAATACCCCCACCCCAAACCCTGCAACATGAAGGAAAAAAAATTAAAATTTCCATCTACTGAAATAAGATTTCATACAAACATAAATATATTTAAATTTTTAACTGTAAGTGAATTCAAAAAAACTGTTATAAAACAGAATACTATACACAGTTGTCTGCATAGGTCATAAAAAACATAAAAACCAGAATGCGGAGTGGGTGCTGGTGGTGAAAACTGCAGGGCTAAAACTTACTCAACAATGAACTAGGGACCACTATGGCTTAATGAACATGGCCCACCCCTCCTACTAATGGCTTTGTCAACTTTTGGACCCTAGAAATTCAGAATTTTCTCCTTCTTCCTCTGCCAACTTTGGTCCGTGTCCGACGAGCCGGCTGGACAGTAACTTGCTTTTTAAAGTCCACTAAGTAATCTGTGGCTTCTGAAATGGAAACAAAAGACTTGATGGGAGATTCATTTAAGTCACGATGTGTGAAGGAACTCTGCATCTCTCTGCTGCAGCCTGCCTCTTCCATCCCTGGTGAGGGCACCCTAGAGAGAAGGAAAAAATTCAGATTCAATATACACCTACTAAGCATCAAGGATATGCTATGCCCTGTATCAAGGGATTATTAGTACAAATAATCTTTGTAATAATCCTACCACATATCATCACTCTGTTTTCACAGATGAGGTCACTGGGTAAATCATATACTTAAAGTTGGCATTGAGAGAATGAGAATTTAGATCCAAATTCCCAAACTGCTTGAGAATCCAGGTCAGAAAACCAGGGTTGGATAGGGATAGAGAGGTAGAGAAGAATAAGACATAACTTTTACTCTGCTTGTTTTAACACAATGAATGAACTGAGCTATCTAATCTTTAGTTCAGATAAATGGGGAGCACAGAGTCATACTGAGAGAGAGGTCATAATAGTTCCATAGTGATTTCCACTGCCACAGTTTGAGTATCACACTACACACAGAACACAGGACAAGGCCTGCACTTTTCAGAAATCTGACAGCCACAATTCAGCGCACAATCCAATTCACCTGAAGGCTCCTGTTTCTGAAGACTTGATGTCTGCATCTGTGATACGAGAGAAAAAATAATAATGTTGGTAGTAGTGTTGGTAATCACACCACTTCTCACTGATCTTTTGCTTCCTGTGTTCTAGGCACTGCTTCTCATCAGGCCTATCCAGGTAGCACAGATCCCCAATCCCCTAAACCCACGGAATGTGAGTATTAGTGTCCAACAGACTCAGCTGCTGTGGCACTCAGAGAAACACTTTTGAATGAACAGCCTCTGAATAAATCGACTTCAATTCTAGACTTGAGGAACAAGGAAGTTGCCAAGGGAAATCTGCCACCTGCAGAGATTCACAAACTGGTGATCTAGAGACAGCAGGATATGAGGCTGGGAGAGGCTGCCTTTTTATAGTCATCAGAAGGCACAACAGACTTGCTTGGTGGGAATGAACTATTAGAACTAGATGGTAAGCACATCTCACCAGGCTTAAGCAAAAGCTCCTCTTCCATCCACATCTGGTGAATTTTAACAATAGCGACTAATAACAACAGTAATAACAGCAGCTAACATTTATCAAGAGCCTACTTATGCCAGGGAATATGTTTGGAGCTTTACCAGATATAATTCTTGCAATCTATGAGGTTTAGTATTACTAACTCCCTGCAATGGTCTTAACCAATCCACTCTACTGCTCCCTAAATACTATGCACAAACCCTGAGGACTGCAGGTTGGGACACTAAGCCAAAGGTAACATATGAATGATGCACAAAACAATAGGAGGAAGCAATAACATCTGCATATCTAGTTTTCTGTGCCTGTTCCTTTAGGTATACTTGGGGCTTGTCATATTCCCCTGTGTTTTGATAGTATTTTTTCTGAGTTCAATAGGCAGTTATGATTCAAGGCTTTATAAAGCCTGAAATGAAACATAGGATGAATAAGACAGTATATTACCCCATATTCCTTAAGGAGAGATGACCTAGATGGAGTCTCAAAGGCTGGCTGATTGGTTCACGTGTGTACCCAGAGAGTCCCAGCAAATAGTCAGGGGGCTGGCAATGGCTATCTTCATTGAAAGGCCTTAGGCAGAAGCCCAGAAAACTGGTCCTGGGGTCCTCACCTGAAGTCTTGTGCTCAGACTGTTCCAAGAAACTAAGGAGTCGGCCTTCACTGTGGCCTTTTTTCTGTAACAGAGAAAAAGAGATGAAAGGGTTACTTCAAGGCAGAGTCTAAAATACAACTTCCACGGCCCAGATCACACGTGTTCATAGAAGAGAAAAGGTGTGGGGGCCACAGCTCTAGGGAAGTCTTCTGCATTCTAATAAATGAGGGTACACAAGTGAAAAAGCAAACTATAATGAAGAGAATACATCGTTATGCCAAGATTATCATGGATTTAAAACAGAAAATAAATTTTAAGGTAGCGTCTACAGGCAGTGATGCCAGAATAAACTGGCTATATAAGTAAGTGCCTACCTATAAACCATAACTCCAAATCTCCACCTCAAAATCACCCCATTCAGAGAGACAGGTCTCTTTCTTCTGGCATGACAGACAATGGCTTCCCCATTTTAGTGTGTACAGTGACTCCTTTGTCAGTAACCTTACAATATGGAGCTGCTGCTTTATTTTTCATCTCTAAGCCAAGACTTGCTCTTCCTGATCTCTAATTACAAGGTCCAGAAAGTACATCCATCCTTCCCAGTGACCAGGGCCCAGACCCGGCAGCTTCCTAAGGAGTTCAACAGAGTTGATCTCACATATATTCTTGGCAGTGGGATTATAAACTGGATATCCTTTCTGGAAAGCAATTTGGCAGGTTTTGAGAGACTTTAAAATTCGTGTATCCACTGACCTAATAGTTCCATGTCAGAAAATGTATTCTAAGGAAATAATCAACAGTATAAAGACTGATTAATGTTTTAAATACAATCTTATAAAAGAACCAAAATGTTCAATAATAGGTGAATGTTTAAAAGACCATCTGTGTGATATAAACATTAATGGTAATTTTTAAAAATAAAATCCAAAATGTTTACACTACACCTTAAGTTTTCATAAATGCAAGTGAGAAAACTACATATCAAGTACTATATAGAATACAGTATACATATAGTACTAGATATATAGTATGTTGTGTGTGTGCTTATTGTGTATATATTGAGAGAGAGAAGGTGGGAGAGGGAGAACAGTGTCAATTACATTAACAACGCACAGAAAAAGAGACCGGAAGAAAATAGGCCAATACATTAAAAGTTATCATCTTTGAGTAGCTAAATTATGGGTGATGACTTCCCCTGATTATTTATATTTTTTTGAATTTTCCGTATTTTCTACAATGAACATGTATTACTTTTTAAATTAAAAGGAAAAATAATTTTAAAAAGCACAAATCTTGTTTCAAGATAAATAGAGGGAAGAGGGGAGGGAGAAGAAAAGTCCAGAACAGAACTGTGGTCTCTTACAACTGACAACCAGGAGGGTTAGGTAGCCTTTCCCAAAACACTCTACACATACCTTTGGGTTCCGCAGCCTCTGCTGCCGCTTCCCCTCCACAGTTGAACATGCTCTTCCACTCCCTTCAGGCCCATCTCCTTGGTCAGCCTTTGCAAGCTGGAGACAGGAGTCCACATGACACTGATACTCTCTAAATGGGACCAGGGATTTACAGAGATAACACTTCTCATTCCTAGCCAATAACAAAAAAGGAAGAAAACACAGTTTTAAGATGCGCTTTTGCCTCTGGGCCCCTGGATATGTCTCAAATTGTGTTTTTACATCCCAAAGTTATTCTGTGGATGAGACATATCAACCAATGCAGATTCACTCAGCAGGATCACCAATAAAACTAACCCAACGCCAATCAAAAGGACTGAGTGATTAGCAGTTTTCCCTGGCTGTTTCTCTGTACCCTGCTGTTGCAGCAGTGGGATGGTAATGAAATCAGCTCTTCAAACTATCTCAAACAATGCTGATTGCTCTTCAGACATAAAATATTCTGTCAAACTCTTCCAAAATTAAGTGTAATAGTTTTTTCAAAGAGAAGTTAAAATTTCCACAGAAAAGGGAGCACCAAAAGCATTAAATTAAGTTGACATTTTTACCAGGGTGGATGAACTTGTCTGATTAGTAAATTAACTCTGTCTATATGCTGACTTCCTTAATTCTACAATCTGCAATATCAACTAAGAAGTTACTAAAAACCATGTGGGTCTGCCAGAGGCTTTTGCGTAATTCTGTATGCATAGCTATCTTTATCTTTTTAGAAGAGTAGAGTTTGGGAAAAGAGAGGAAAAGTAGGTCCTTGAGGTAAAGTTTACTGGGCATCAGTAAAAATGGAATCACTGGGGGTAAAAGAAAAAAATGAATATTTAGTAAGTATTTTCTCTGTGGTGAGAAACTGTGCAAGGCTCTTTAATCACAATTCTCAATTAATTATTTAGCTCCATTAGGACGGAACTAATCTAACTATGGTCTTATAGGTAATAACTATCAGAAACTAGATCTGCCTGACTCATAAGATCACCTTAGTTTTAAGAAACTAAAAAAAATTTTCCAAAGCATGCTATCTTGGACATCTCTTTCTGGCCATAATGATGGCCAGATGGTTATTATTCAATAACTATAGCAAGGGAGACTTGGATTAGCTGTAAGGAAGACTTTTTCTGAAGATCTTTAAAATAGGAGAAATAAGTCTCTCAAATACTTAATTATCCAGAGGAATGCAAGCAAAATGCTGCCTTGTGAGAAAAGCTAGACTAATATACCTTTCAAGATTTATCAATTAATGCAAAAAACATTTATTAATTCCCTACTATATGAGAGACAGAAGTACTGCATAAGAGGCAGGAGTTTTGTTAGAGTCAGACAGACTTTGTCACTTTTAGCTGCAGTGATCTTAACCAGTTACATATAATTTCTCTTTAGTTTCCTTATTTAAAAAACAAAAGAATAACTACCTTAAATCAACCACAGTGAGAGTAACAAACAAAGCACCTAGCACAATGACTGGCACATAATACTAGCACTAAACAAACAGCTATTATTGTTATTGTTGTCTCAGATACATTTTATTAGAAGCTGGGGATATAAACATGAATTAAGGCAAGTATTTGTCTCAAAAAACTCAGACTAACCAGGAATACAGAAATGTTCTTTTTTAAAAAAAAAAAATTACTGCAATACAATGTGAGGAATTTCTAAACGAATGTCTACATTACAGTAAGATTCCAAAGGGTCAGTTCTGCTCAACTAAATTAGGGAAGACAGCCCTGAAATTCAGGGTCTAAGATCTGTGTTTCAAAGATAAAAGTTTCTGCTTAGTAACTGCTTTAATCTACTGTTGGTAATGACTTTACTTTCAGATGGCAGCACCTACACCTGACCCCTTCCTCAGAATGAGCTTTCTCAGTCAAGCTGCAACACACAACCAAAAAGTCTTCTATATTGCCCAACCTTTTGCAATTCAACTTCTGCACTATCATGTGAAATGCTCAATGCTTCCCAAAGAGCACCAAATAGCAATATGCAAATTAAAGAAAACAGAAACCTAAGAGCAATGTGGAAGTGGAGTGGGTGGCAGGATTGTTTTTAGTGTATTAAAAATGGATACAAAGGCCACCTACACTGACACAGACTAGGAATAAGAAAAAGAAATTCAGGGCCGGGCGCGGGGACTCACACTTGTGATCCCAGCACTTTGGGAGGCCGAGGTGGGCAGATCACCTGAGGTCAGGAGTTCGAGATAGCCTGACCAACATGGAGAAACCCCGTGTCTACTAAAAACACAAAATTAGTCAGGCGTGGTGGCGCATGCCTGTAATCCCAGCTACTTGGGAGGCTGAGGCAGGAGAATCGCTTGAACCCAGGAGGCGGAGGTTGCGGTGAGCCGAGATCATGCCATTGCACTCCAGCCTGGGCAAGAAGAGCAAAATTCCATCTCAAAAAAAAAAAAAAAGAGAGCGATTCCGGCATCCAAGCAATGAAGCCATTGGCAGGGTAAGAAATACAGGGTCAGATGGGTAAGATAACAACTGATCTTTTTCTTCAGTCCAAATGATGGCATGCTATACAGGAGCTCCGTGAATGCAGCACACTTACTTACTTGTCAATGTCTAGAGAAGTCTGGGCAGCTGTCCCACTGTCACTCTTGGTCTTGGCCTCTTTTTGTCTCCGAGTCAATACTTTTAATAAAAAAATAAAATAAAATAAAACATATATATAATTAGCTGCCAGCAGACTCTGAATATAAAAGACAAAATGTATAGGAAGAAGCAAAGTTTAAAACCTTATCCCACTGGGAGAAATACATCATTTGCGAAGTCTCATTCTTTCTAGCATTGAGAATAGCAATTGTAACATTTGCACCAAAACAAATGTCTTGACAATATTCTGTCCTCCACAAGATATTCCGCTATATGCTAAGCCATGAGATCTAAAGATCTACTCCACACCAAGAAAGGTTTTTGTGTACTATCCCAGCTTGCAGCACTCAAGGGAGGGATTTACACTTTCCCAAGCAAAATTCTATCTGGTATGACACATACTCAAGTGAGGTACTCTATGAAATATAGTAATGACAGCCACATCTGAGTGCCTACATAAGCTCCAATCTTTACAAAACTCTGAAAAGTTCTGCAATGAGAAAACTGTGGCTCAGAACAGTTAATACAACCAGTCTTTCTTCACTACACTAGTACCAACCTCCCAATTCTAGTGGGTATAAATGGCTTTAGCCCAAATGACACACAAATACATTGTCTCTCACACCAAAAGACATCTGTTTATAAAATCAGTCTCTTAAAGGATCTTGGAGGTTATTTAATCAAGTGTTTTCCAGTTCATTCCTTGCATAACAAGAAAAACTACAACAATTTCACGTCAAACTCTACCTTCTTTCCTCCTAACACCTGAATCCCCACAACAGATAATTTAGCAGGGTTACGAGTAACTTAGGTTGTGAAGCATTTATCTAGTCCAGGGGTCAGCAAACTTTATCTGTGGAGACAGAGAGTAAATATTTTAGGCTTGGTAGGCCATATGGTCTCTGTCACAACTACTCAACTCTGTACTGTTAGCAGGAAAGCAGTCACAGACTATACATGAACAAATGGGTATGTTTCAATAAAACTTTATCTACAATAACAGGTATCTGGCTAGATTTGGCCCATGGCTGGCCACCGTTTGCCTAACCTTCTAGATCAACCTCCTACTCATACAAAAATGCCTTCTATAAACATCCCTGACAAGTAATCATACAGTCTTGACTGCATTTTTTTTTTTTTCTCTCTCTTTTTTTTTTTTTTTTTGAGACGCAATCTCACTCTTCTTGCTCAGGCTGGAGTGCAATGGTATGATCTCAGCTCACTGCAACCTCTGCCTCCGGAGTTCAAGTGATTCTTCTGCCTCAGCCTCCTGAGTAGCTGGGATTACAGGCACCCATCACTATGCTCAGCTAATTTTTTGTATTTTTATTAGAGACGGGGTTTCACAATGTTAGCCAGGATGGTCTCAAACTCCTGACCTCAGGTGATCCACCTGCCTCGGCCTCCCAAAGTGCTGGGATTACAGACGTTAGCCACCGCGCCCGGCCAACTTGGCTGTATCTTTTAACTGAGGGAAATTCACTTCCTCCTAGGGAAATCCATTCTGTTGCAATCTGGCTCAATCTGCATTTACTGGGGACTATATAAATACATTTACCCGCCTTTCCACAAGTCAGCTCTTTGAACACTTAACAAAATCTTGGATTTACTCGGTTTTCTGCCCCTATTAAAATGGAACCATCATCAAAGGAAGAACTATACCTAGTTACTATGGCTATTCTATTAAGATTTGGATTGCCGAAACTCTGAATGCCTAGGTTAGCTCTTACGATGACCCTCCAGATTGGTATTATTACTTTTCCCCGGTTTTTTTTTTTTTTTTTTTGAGACGGAGTCTCGCTCTGTCGCCCAGGCTGGAGTGTAGTGGCCAGATCTCAGCTCACTGCAAGCCCCGCCTCCTGGGTTCACGCCATTCTCCTGCCTCAGCCTCCCAAGTAGCTGGGACTACAGGCGCCCACCACCGCGCCCGGCTAGTTTTTTGTATTTTTTAGTACAGATGGGGTTTCACCGTGTTAGCCAGGATGGTCTCGATCTCCTGACCTCGTGATCCACCCGTCTCGGCCTCGCTGGGATTACAGGCTTGAGCCACCGCGCCCGGCCTTTTCCCCGGTTTTAATGGTATGGAAATAAACTAAGAGGAATTGACTTCACCACACTATCACAACTACTAAATAGTAAAACCCAGGACAGAATCTAGATCTGATTCCTATACTTACGTTTTACCTTCCTAATTAACCTCTTTTAGATATACAATCCAATTTGTCAGTTTTTCTTAATATGTGTAGCACCCCAAACAGAATCCAATATTCAACAAACAATCCAACTAGTAAAGAGAACAGAAGAACCATGAGCTACCCCATGTGGACTCATATTCTACTGATTCAGTCAAGGCTGTGTTTGCTTTATTGACAATCCCGGTATACTACTGGCTTAAACTGAACTTAAAGGAAATTAAGATCCATCCCCTACCCTCCCAAATTATCTTCAAATAAAATGTTATCATCACTGGGCGCAGTGGCTCATGCCTGTAATCCCAACACTTTAGGAGGCTGAGGCGGGCGATCACTTGAGACCAGGAGCTCGAGAACAGCCTGGGCAACAGGGTGAAACCCCCGTCTCTACAAAAAAATATAAAAGTTAGCTAGCATGGTTGTGCTTGCCTGTAGTCCCAGCTACTCAGGAGGCTGAGGTGGGAGGATCAACTGAGCCAGGAGGGTTGAGGCTGCAGTGAGCTGAGACAGCGCCACTGCACTCCAGCCTAGGTGAAGAGCTAGACTGTCTCAAAAAATCAATACAATACAATACAATACAATGTTACCAAGACAAGTCTCTTAATTCTGTACTTTGGTAACTAAGTTGCTGGGTATTTTTTTTCTCCCCTTAAACATACAATTTTGTATTTGTCCCTGTTCTTTTCAGCTGAACGTTTCTATTTATTGAGATCATCTGCAGTCTTGATTCTGTCATCTGATGCTATTAGCTCTCTTTCTCAGCTGCGTGTCATCTGCATATATGACAACCACACTTTTTACATCTTCATCCAAGTCACTAGGGAAAAATGGTTGTAAAGGATATGGCCAAGGACAAAACTGTGACATGTTACCAGAGAAGTCTGTCTTCTCCCTGGTCCAACTTTTCTTTAAATAATTAAGCAAACATTTATTGACAATCTTCAATGTGCAAGTAATTTGGGGAGATACAGGAAATTATGAGGCACTGTCCTTGCTCTTAAGGAGAGTGCAGTTTACTAATGGAGACAGCATACACACTCAAATAACTACAACCCAAGGTGTAAAGAGATATGCATAATAAAACAAGATCACACACAAGCAACTAATAACAGTGTTTGCCTCTGGGGAGGATGACAGGAATACTTGAAGACTGGAAGAGGAAGGAGGCATACTTTTCACTGTATACTTTTTTGTAAATCAAATTAAAAATTAGAAGGGAGGAATCAGATTATATAGAGTCAGGCACAGATTAAATGATCTAAGGTTCCTTCCAATGCAGAGATTTTATAAGTAAAATTAAAGTACTGCAGAAGAAAAACATCCAGGACAGAACCAGCCTCAAATCCACCTCCTATTACATCAACCAGCCCATACTTCTCTATCTTACGCACAAGGACCTCATGAGAGATTTTATCAAGCACCTTGCTGAAATCCATTCTTAAAAGGCTGGCACCTCAAAGATTACAGAATCCTGTAGGAGTTCTATTTTTTCTTTTTCTTTTTCTACTTGTCCCCCATCTTGACTAGCATGTATTTTTCCAAAAGAAATACTTGGAAACCACTCCACAGATAGGGTTGGAAAAAGAATTAATTGATTCTAGTACTGTCTATATACCACTATTGCATTTAGCACATTTCTGTTCCTATTCATTTATATGTCAGTTTTCCTTCTACACCATGTAACTTTCTGAATTCAGAGACTCTGGTTTTATTTTGGGTTTTTTTTGTTGTTTTTTTTTCCCCCTCTTCAGCATCCTCAGCAGAGTCTAGGACAGATTAAATGCTAATAAATACTTGCTGAATTAAATTGTATCAACAGATTCTAGGGGAAAAAAGAGTTCTTGTTTTATGAGGACCTACTCTGTGTCAGAGACTTTATAAACATAACCTCTATCTTTACAACAACCCTACAAAGAATATATCATTATTTCTATTTTATAGTAAATATATATATATATATTTTGAGACATATCTTGCTCTGTGGCCTAGGCTGGAGTGCAGTGGCATGATATTGGCTCACTGCAACCGCTGCCTCCCGGGTTCAAGCGATTCTCCTGCCTCAACCCCCTGAGTAGCTGGGATTACAGGCGCCTGCCACCACGCCTTGCTAATTTTTGTATTTTTAGTAGAGATGGGGTTTCACCATGTTGGCCAGGCTGGTCTTGAACTCTTGACCTCGTGATCCACCCACCTCGGCCTCCCAAAGTGCTGGGATTACAGGCGTGAGCCACTGTGCCTGGCTGTAAATGAAATATTAAGTAACCTGATCAAGGTCACAAAACAAAAGCAAAACAAAACAAAAACAAAAAGCAAAAAACAAAAAACAAAAAGCACAAGGAATGCAATACAAATCTGACTACAGAAGCATATGTTCTTCTACAAGAGCATGCTGCCTCTCCTGGAAAATAAGAAGCTAAAGAATGGGAAGAGAAAAGGTGGTAAGTGGTAAATGAGGGGGCAGGTAGAAGAGAATTTGAAGGGAGAGACTTGATATTGATAGATGGTTAGGACTATACGGTAATTCTATTAAATGTTATGATCACAACGGACTGGACTGAGGCTTGCTGCTGTTTTTCCTTTGAAACCTACTGCCCCTACAAAAGAGCACAGAAGTGCATGTAGGTTGCTCTGAAGGAGCACTTGTGGTTTATGAGGGTTGAGAGAGCTATTTAAACTAGCTACAGGCAGAGAATTCATTATGAAACACATATCCAAAAACCAAACTGCTGATGACAGCAGCCACAGATTTCAAAAGAGAACAACTCAGGGGTCTGAGTACAACTATCGAGGAAAGGTAGAAGAGAACAGGTATCACTGAAAGCTGAGAGAGATGACAATAAACATAAG